CTTGGTTACCATCTAAAAAAAAACTCATGGGAAAAAATTATGTTGTATTTTTAAACCTTTAGGGCTTTATTCTATTTTTCTAAGTCGTTAACTGTACTTTTTAAAAAAGTATTTTGTATCTACTTTTGTAACTTCATCAGAATAAACTATATTGAAAGCAAAAATGACTTAAGTGTGTTAGCATGTTTTCATTTAAATGTGGAAATGAGATCTTTGCAGGTTCTCTGGATTTTGATTAGAGTTTAAATTTGGAGGATTATCTTTGCAAACCATATAGTATCTAATTTCCTAAAGCTTAGGAAGGAGAAGTTCCTAAATGAAACCAAATAGAATACCAGAGCCTTATTCCAAAGAACAAATCCCTGTGATTAGTGCAGACCCATCCCAGAGAGAAGTGAGCAGTCTCCATGCTGGGATGCTCATGGGACTCCAGATCTGAGGTACATTCCTGGGAAACGGTGGAGGGTGGATTCCCTAATTTTATTACCTTGAAGTCAAGTACTCTTGTAGCCTTAAAACCCTCCCCAGCCCAAACAGCCACTTATCCTTGTAGGAGAATTACCAACAAGCTCAATGTATTAGTCAGGAGGGGTCTTTAGAACAGGGGTTTTCAACCTGTGGGCAAACCTTCCACAGGGGTTGTCCAAGACCATCGGAAAACACAGATTTACATTACGTTTAATGACAGTAGCAAAAGTAATTATGAGGTAGCAGCAGAAATAATTGTTACAGTTACGAAGTAGCAGCAAAAATAAACCATAGTTGGGGGACACCACAATACAAGGAGACCTGTATTAAAGGATTGTAGCACTAGGGAATGTAAGGACCACGGCTTTAGGGGAACAGAATTGGGAGAATGAATATATATGGGATTATTGAATGGCTTAAAGACTGTGGTCCGGCTAGTCCAACAATGTCTGCCTATCAATGGAAGGTTCAAGAATTCAGTAGTTGTTCAGTCCACAAGGTGGGACTGAACTTTAGTATACACCAGAATCTCAAAGGAGGCTCTAATGCCAGTGAAGGAATGGACTTACCTTCAAGAGCAAGAAAGCAATCCTGCTTCCATGCCCTTTGTATAGGCTGCCGACAGAAGCTGTGCCCCACCTCAGACGGTCTGGATTAAAAGTGGATCTTCTCACTTCAAATGACTTGACAAGTCCTTCACATGTGTTCTTGGTTGGTTTGGTTTTAGTTAATTTCATATGTAGTCAAGTAGACAAGAATAGCCGTTACATTCAGTTTTAGAAAAACTACAGGTGCATTTTGGGTTGGTCTGAAAACTGGTTTTGGACTTTTTGAGTAGAGTTGGAAACTTCCTAAGTGATCACACTTAATCTTATATAAGACACAGGCAAACTGTTAAGTCAGCATTATACATTTACTGGCATGGCTTTATTTTGCAGCCCTGATTAGCTTCAGACTTGAAGTCTTGCTCTGTGGCTTCTTAAGTGCTATGTGCCTACCTCATTTTTGGTGAGTTTTTGTTTGTTTCAGTAGGCCTGAAAATGATCACAAAGGCCATTGGGATGGCCCAGTAGGTCAAGGTGTTTGCTGCCAAGCCTGCAACCTGAGTTTCATCTCTGGAACCCTCATAGTGGAAAGAACCAACTCCAGAAATCTGTTCTTTTATCTTCACATGTATGCTGTGGCATGTGCATGCCCCCCATAATTAAATAAATTTAATGATCATCTTAAAATTACATATAACCTTAAAAAAACTTGAAGTGATCATCAAAATGTGTGTCAGGGAATCAAACAGCTGAGTCTTTGGAAGCTCTTTGAAGCTTCAGAAGAGTAGAAATAACCCAGACAAGAGTCAGGAAGGCCAGAGTTAGGCTTTGAAGCCGCATAGCCAGAAACAAGCCATGCATCCTTAACATTGTCCAGTATCAAGATTTTCCAGTTAGAAGCATGCCCCTTGGTTGACAGATCCTAGGTCGTACCACTGTGTTTTGACTTTGAAGGGACTGGGAGGACATTGTAGGGCTTTACTCAGAAGGAAAGTTTAGCAGTCTTGGGAGGCAGGAGATTTTTCAGTCTTTCTACAATGTTCAGGTAAGGTTAAGAAGCTGGTGTACAGCTACTTGAATCCCTCCTCCCCCTGAAAGGGTTCTCTGTAGTTCTGGGTCTTCTGGAACTTGCTCTATAATCTAGGCTGGCCTCAAACTCAGATTCACCTGTCTCTGCCGCCCAGCTGCTGGAATTAAAGGCATGTGCCCCCACCGCTGGCTGTAGGATTGAATTTTTTAAGAACTGACTCTTGGAGTGCTAGGAGGCTCCTCTATAAAACGACTGTTAATAAAAATCATCTCAGTGAAGTAAAAACAGAAGATCTGCTAATTGATAGATATATCAACCAAACGAAAAACAAGTCTTGTAATAGTTTGTGTAACATGAAACTTGAGTTTTATGATGTTGTCTACCTTATTAAAGTATAAACAAATTAATATATACACCTGTTTTTCTAAATTTGCCTCTAAATACTGACTTCAAAGAAATGCCCTTGACTATTGATACTCATGTATCAATTCTCTTTTTCTGAGTTTTGAAGCTTGGAATAAAAAAACTATAAAAAAAAAAAAAACAGAAGATGCATCCCAAGAGACCCTAACTGAGGAGGCCCCGTGGTGATGAGGTGGTGCAGGCTTGTAGAAAGAGGGTCAGAAATCCAAGCTCATCTTGAGCGACATAAATTCGAGGCCAGCTTGGGCCATAGGAGACCCTGTCTCAACAGTAAACAAAACACAGAGTGATTAGACCCCAAGTAAACAAAGGTGAATGAACCTCAAGTTCAGAGCAGAAAGGCTCGGCTATTTCCTGGGCCCCAAAGGTGGTTTAAGGAAATGAAGAGGCTAGAGAGATGGCTCAGTGGTTAAGAGCACTGGCTGTTCCTGAAGAGGACCAGAGCTTGATTCCCAGCACCCACATGGCAGTCCCCACCCATCTGTAACTCTAGTTCCAGGGGATCTGACACTTTCTTCTGGCCTTGGACACTGTATGCACATGTTGTGCAGACATACATGCAAGCAAAACATCCAGACAAAATATAAAAATTTTAAGAAGGTTCAAGTTGCAGGAGAGTCTCAAAACAAAAACAACAAATTGTGTGACCAAAAGCCTGGCCGACCTGTGCAGGGCAATTTGGGTGTCGTGTCCTGCAGTTTAGATTCCAGCTGGATGAGTAGGTAAGGGTGAAGTCGTGCAAGGTGATTTCCTTTGTGTGATGGGGAGGCTGAAGGATTTGAGACATTGTTCTCTCAAGCAGCTTAGACATCCTCTTGGAAGCTGAAGGTAAGGGGTGCACAGTGGAGCCCCAACAGTTCTCAGTCACAGTTATGTGGGTGATCTGTGGAACAGGATTGACAAGCAAAGGTGCCAATGTAAATGATGGAGGTAAGTCTGACCTTAACCTAGGGCACTTAGCTTCAAGTGGCAAATTTGTCCACACTGAATTCAGTACTCATTTCCAGCAGGGCTGGCTTCCAGCAGCTCAGAGAGTCCCCTGTCTACCTCCTCAGAACCACTTCTGTATCTGCTCCATTGCCAGAGCATCTCTGCCTCTTTGGTTGCAAAGCTGGTTGCTGGTGGTGCCAGGCTTTCTATAAGCTTAGCAATACATTGGAAAACTGTAATTTAATTCCAGCCCAATCCAGGGAGCATATCTCAATGGTCTGGTTCACCATCTAGTTAGCCAGTCCCTGCGCATCTGAACATGTGGTTTGACTAGCAAAGGGGCCACTATACAGCTAAAACATTTTAGTTTTAATTGTGTTCTTGGCACAAAAGAAACTTGAAAGTTAATAAATTATCCCTAATTACACTAACATAAGTGTAAGTTTTAACATAAGTTTTAAGGAATCAAGCAGAAAAATATGTGTATCAAGTAATGCGAAGATGAGGGCTAGAACACAGGAGTCACTCAACATTGGAATGAACATTTTTTGTTTTGTTTTGAGACAGGGTTTCTCTATTGTCTGACTGCCCTAGAACTTGCTATGTAGGCCAGGCAGGCCTTGAACTAACAGATCTAACTGCCTCTGGCTCCCGAGCATTGAGTTAAAGGTGCACCACCACACCCCGCCTATAAATGAGCCTGCTTTTAGTTGATCACCTGAAAGAGCAAATCCAGGTCCAATCCGCACGGGAAGAACTGACTGCACAGACAAAGCGCAGTGACAAAGTCCTGCAGGCCACACCAGACTGAGGCTGCAGACAATCACCTCCCGAGAGATGGGGCTTGGGGGAGCGTCAGCTTTCATTCTCTGCTTTGTGGGTGGTTATTTATCCCTCATGGTGTGTGCTTCTAAGCCTACCTATTCTGATGGGTTTTTGCCTTGAGCCAAGGTCTCACTACTTAGCCCAGGATGGCCTTCCTGCCCCAGTCTCTCCAGAGCTGGGATTAAAGGTGAGAGCCACCACACTCCCATCCCATTTGGTTTTGAGACAGGGTCTCTATAGCCCAAACTCGCCCGGAACTCACTACTTAAAGCCCTGGCTGGCATTGAACACAAAACAGGTTCCATCCTGTAATCCCAGGGCTGTATCCCTGGAATTTGGGGGACTCCAAAACAAATTTCCATCTTTCTCTCCTCATCTAACACCCATACCACACCTCATCCCCACTCCTTCCACCTGGTTTGGTTCATCGTTCATCTGGCCTCTTCAGCAGTCTGTTCTCTACGATTCCTCCCGGAACCAGAGCACTCTTTCTAAAACACAAACCTGAGAAGACCCCTGTTGCTTGAGAATTTCACAGAACTCCTTTCTGGAAAGAAGCCAGTTCCCCAGAGCACTGACTGGGCTGTCAGGAGGCAGGCCTGTCCTGTGCACCCGACAGCCGAGGTGGGCGTCTGGAGGCGAGCAGGGAGCCCTGCTGGGGAAGCTGGTCTGGGATGGAGGGTCCGCCCAGGCCTGCAGGTACGGCGGTTCCGGGTGCCGACCACGGGGCGGGCGCGGCCTCCGGGCGGCAGGGGGCGGGCTCGCCCAGGGCTGCGGTTCCAGACCGAGTGCTGGGGAGTCTTTCCGCCTGCACAGTGACCTCGGGCTGCGGGCTGCGTCGCCGGGCATGGCGGCATGGGGCCCGGCGTCCGCTGCGCCGCTGCTCCGCGGGAGCCATGGGGTGAGCCGGTGGGGCTCGGGCAGAGCTGCGGGGGAGCTCGGGTGGCTGTTGTCTGGTTGGGGACGTGGGGCAGGACCAGGGCCCTTCCCTGCTCTCATTCATTCTCTCCTGACTTCTCTGATTCGCACTGGGTGTGCTGGGCGGGGGGGGGGGGGGGGGGGGGGGGGGGGGGGGGGGGGGGGGGGGGGGGCACCCAGGCTCAAGTGGATCGGGGACAGTCCCATAAACCGTCACAGTAGAGCGAACCTGGGAAAGAAATGCCTCCTTCTGTAGCGGAAAACCACTCGGTGTTGCGGTCCCGAGTCCAGGCGTTGGTGCTGAGCACTAGGATGAGTCTGCGCCCTGCAATCGCACACAGAGCAGGCCTCTGACCTTCACCCTCCTTAGCCTGCAGCCCGGAGTGGGAGCCCAGCCTACAGCAGCTCTCCTAATCCTCCCACCCTCTCTTGGTTTTAGAGACAGGGTCTTGCATTATAGCCCTGGTTAGCCTAGAACTTGTGACATTGTTCCTGACTCCTGGAATAACGTCCTAAGCCACGGTGCCTAGTCTTTTTCCCCTTTCAGACTCATCTTTAGCTTTACCTCCTCCATCATTCTCCTCCCGTGCCTGATGGTCTCGAATCTGCCTCCCATGCTGAGGAGTTGTGTTGCTCCCAGGACTGTCATCTAGGGCAGGTCATCAGGGATTCTGTCAGTCTGTGGACGGATGGCTGTGCTAAGATGCTGGGCTCCTCTGAGCCACTCTGCGTCTTAGTGACCTTACATGCTGCCTGCCATCCGGTTAGGCCACCGTGGCTGCTTCTGTCTCAGGAGCAGTTGCACCCAGGCTTACAGCCTTGGTTTTGTTCCTTCGTGCAGCACACAGACCATCGAACTCCAGGCTTTCATTGGCCTGAATTCCGGCCATCTCTTAGGCTTCTTGGCCTACGTCTTCCGGCCAAGCCTCTCATTTGCTCACTCACTGCTTCAGGGCCTGTCTTGGGGTCAGCTCTGGGATGCTGCTGTGGAGAGGCAGACTCTATCTCGGCCTTGTGAGACTAGCTGATAGCGAGCTGGGCGGAAGGCTCAGCTGGTAACGTGCTCTTGAGGATGGTCCGAGTTCAGTCCTCAGGACCCATGTGAGGTGGTAAGAGGGCTCCCTGCTTTTCCCGAGGACTCCAACTGTTTCCAGCCTCCATGTCAACATGTCAATCAACTCACAGCTGCCTATAACTCCAGGTCCAGGGATCTGGTACTCTCATCTAGCCTCTGAAGCGCCACATTCATGTGCACAAACTCTTAGACACACACACACACAACTCAAAGTAAAAATGTGAAAACACAAGCCAGGTGTGAGGGCACACACGTGTGATCCCACTGCTGGGAGGTGAGACAGGGGGCTCCCTGGGGCTTGCCTGCCAGCCTAGCCTACTTGATGAGCTCCAGGCCAGCAAGAGACTGTCTCCAAATACAAGGTGATGTGGCTGAGAATGACAGCTGTGTTTGTCCTCTGACCCCCCCAGTGCACATGCACACACGGGCAACTGTGTACACATAAACACACCACAGAGACCCAGGGTACAGCCCTGGGGGTCTAGAATAGCACCTGCTCTAGACCTTGTGGTGAGACTGAGGGGTGACTGGATGCCACCTACAAGCCAGCGCTCCCTGCCCCACCCAGTAGGGGCCATGGCTGTACCACCTCACGGTCCCACAGCCCCCCTCTTTGTGTGTGACAGCTTCCTCTCCTGCACTGTGTACATCGGATGTTTGCCTCCCAGACTGAGGGGGAGCTCAAGGTGACCCAGGTTCTCAAGGAGAAGTTTCCTCGAGCTACAGCTATCAAAGTCACGGACATCTCAGGTGAGGCTTTCTCCCACCGTTGCCATGGGGCTTTGCTGGGGGGTGGGGGGTTGAGTTTTTAGCTGGAGAGAGGCTGAATCCAAAGGCTGGGAGGAGGGAACCTGCCATAGTGACTTCTCCGTTTGTGTTGCTTTGGGCCAGATGGAGACGGGGACTTAGAAACATCAGAGGGAAGCCAAAAAGGCAAAGACCTGGCTGAGAAAACTCTGGGTTACCAGGCTAGCCCTGCTCAGATGAGGTCTCTCTTGCTGACCACCAAGCCTGCCCCTCTAGAGGCACCAAGAGCTCAGGATAGTCTCTCACTTTTGAGATGGATTTGTAATCCGCCCACTCCAGTTCTGACACCGTCCAATGGAGAGCTAGAACAGGCCCAAGGTAGGTTTTGTCAGTTACCCTACTTTATACTTTATCCAAGAGTCAAGCCCAAAGCATCAAAAGGAAACAGGAGAACCAGAGGCAGAATCAGGACCCAGGGCAGACTCTCCAAGCCCAGGCTGGTCCTGTTCTCCTCAGGCCACCTCTACATGTCTGGCTGTCTGTCAGGACCAGGCTGGAGGCGTAGCTTCTGCACTAGAAGCAGAGGAAAGATGGGGGCCTTATCCAGACACGCCCAGAGAGGGACACGGGTGCAGGCAGCTAGATAAGACATGGCCCAGCATGGCCACTGCAAGGAGGGCTCTCCGACTTCCCTAAAAGCTTGCTTGCATGGGCAGGGAGACCATTCAGAAACAGCTTTTCTTGGGCTGGGGATGCAGCTCAGTTGGTAAAGCGCTTGCCTAGCATGTACACAGGCCAGCTTTGATTCCCAGAAACGTAAAATTGAGCAAGTGTGCTGTGCTGGCTCATAATCCCAGCATTCAGGAGGTGGAGTTCAAGGCCATCCTTGATTATGTGGAGGGGTTGAGGTCAGACCATTTGAGACCCTGACTTACAAAACAAAACACAAAGAAGTTTATTTTATTATATGTTAGGAGAGGGCCCTGAGGGCGTTCATTGGTGTAAGAAAGCATAGATGACTGCGCTCGAAGCGGTTGGTTACATCATGTCCAGTCGGGAAGGAGGGAAGGGGAGAGAGACGGAGAGGGACGAAGTGGGAAGGAGGGAGGGAGGGGATGCTGGCGCTCAGCTCTCTTTTCCTTTCGTCCAGGTATCCATTTTAGGGGTGAGCAATCCCAATCTAGAAACTTCCTCATAGACATGCGCAGAGGTTTGCCCCTAAGTGATACCAGATTCTGTCAAGTTGATAGTCACTGCCAGCCCCACTGGAGGGACCACACAATCAGATGAAACCTTGGGATATTTTTAACAGGTCTGTGGAAGGTGGAATACTGAAATTGACCCTCCCACTATCTCCCATGGCTTACTAAGAGAGAATTTCTACCTCCCAATGCTTCCCAGGCCTTGGGCCTCCTCTTTCCTGCCCACACTCAACAGTGTGGGTAGCAGAGAGGCCAGAGTGAATGTCAGATGGAAACTGCTCTTACCGGCACCTGTTAGCCGAATGCTGTCAGGACTGTCCTTCCTTGGGACTGCCTGCTGTTGTAACCGAGATGCCTTTGACTTTGTCTGCTCAGGAGGCTGCGGGGCGATGTACGAGATTAAAATTGAGTCTGAAGAGTTTAAAGAGAAGAGGACCGTCCAGCAGCACCAGATGGTCAATCAGGTCAGTGGCTGCCGATCGTCCTTGTCCCTCTGGCCTTCAGCATCTGAGTGCACAGCAGAGGGCATGGTTGCTATTGCTGTCGGTTCCAGGGCACAGCAGGGCAGCCATTAAAATGTGGTCAGGAGGACAGGACTTGAGACCCTGGAAACACAAAACCAGAGACTCACTAGGTTGAGATTTTGAGCAAATGTAAATTCATTCAGAATTGGAACTAGGCCACCCAACAGTTATTTCTCAACCTCTTTGATAATACTAACAATTTTACTGTTTCTTTGGGTTTTTATTATTATTATTATGTATACAATATTCTGTCTGAGTGTATGTCTGCAGGCCAGAAGAGGGCACCAGACCTCATTACAGATGGTTGTGAGCCACCATGTGGCTGCCGGGAATTGAACTCAGGGCCTTTGGAAGGACAGGCAATGCTCTTAACCACTGAGTCATCTCTCCAGCCCCTGGTTTGGGTTTTTGTTATGGTTTTAAAGAGAGTCTCATGAAGCCCAGGCTAGACCCAAATTCATTATGTAGGCAAGGATGGTCTTGTGCTTCTAACTCTCCTGCCTCTACCTCCCAACTGCTGAGGGTATGGATCACCACACCTGGCTTATGAAGTCTGGAGACTAAGCTTAGACACCCTCCGTGAAAATCTACTTACTGAACTGGATCCTTAGCCTTGTTTGGGTATTTTTAAAGACTAGGTAGTCCAGGCTGGTCTTGAACTTACTATACAGCCGAGGGTGACTTTGAACTTCCGATCTTTCTGCCTCCACCTCCAGGTGCACATCACCACGGCTAGTGTGAGGTGGTGAGGGTGGAACCCAGGGCTTCCTGCGTGCTAGGCGAGTGCTCTGCCCACTGCTGTACAGCGTCAGCCGTGTTAGGGAGTTTTGAGGCGTGTCCTCTGGCGCTGGCTTGTGTGGACTCTGATCTCTAGCCACCGCCTCCAGAGCAGGGTTAGAGACGTGCTCCGCTGTGCCTGGCCCGCTCGGTGTTTTCTGGTCTCATGGGGCTAAATGACACGCTTTTGTAGATTTGGGTTTGTGTTCCTCAGTAGGAGCCTCTGTCTCAGAAGCCACCCCTCTGGACAGCTGTGTCTGGTGTCACTCAGAGCTCTTGGGCGCTGTCAGCTGCTTTAGCTTTTGAAAAGCAGAGTTCTGGCCATCAGCCCCTTTATCTTGGGTTCACGTGTGCTCTACTGTCGGAGGGTCCTCCCTCCCTCTGGATGTCCTGATTGGACCTCTGGCCTAGTTCCCTTCTGCACCCAACTCAAAAGCTACTTCCTCCCATCCTCCTGGCTGGACCCCAGGGCCCCTCCATTTTCTGACTCCTTCTTTTTAAAATTGTGTATTCTGCGGTTGATGTGGGAGTGATTTCTTATTAATAAAGAAACTGCCTAGGCCCCTTGATAGGCTAACCCTTAGGTGGGCGGAGAAAACAGAACAGGATTCTGGGAGAAAGAAGCTTAGTCAGGAGTCGCCATGATTCTCCCGCTCCAGACAGACGCAGGTTAAGATCCTCCCTGGTAAGCCAGCTCGTGGGCTACATGGAATATCAGAAATGGGTTAGAACAATATGTAAGAGCTAGCCAATAAGAGGCTACAGATAATGGGCCAGGCAGTGTTTGAAAGAATACAGTTTCCGTGTAATTATTTCAGGCATAAGCTAGCCATGCAGGCGGCTGGGTGCCAGGGACGCAGCCCTGCCGCTCCTCATTCAACATGCGGTACTTTTAGGGGTGGGGCACAATGCTGCAGCACCCATGTGGTTAAAGTAGAACTTGCCTTCCACCATGTGGGTCCTCGGGATTTGAACCTAGGTAGTCAGGCTTGCCAAGCACCTTTTCCCATTGGGTCATCTCACCTACCCTCCAACACCTTCTTCCAGTTGCTGGTGGTTCTGACTTGTGTCCTGACATGTCTATGTGCACCCTGGACACATTAGCCCTTTGACATTCTCAGAGCCCCTCCAGATACAGTCAGCTCTGTGTGGGTTCCAGGCTTAGAAGGCAGGTAGCTAGGACAGGGAAGACTTGACTGGGGGCTTTCCCCACAGCTTGTTGGACATGGGTTTTCCTGTGGGACTTGTGTTTTGTCCTCAAACATATATGCTACCTGGTGTGACTGGATACTTGTGTAGCCTGGGTGCTATTAACCTGCATGCATTCCTTGGCCTGCAGCTAGTCGTGACCCTGAGTAAGTTATTAACCTCCCTGTACCCACACAGTCTGAGGACACATGCAGCCCTCCTTAAATGTACCATGTACCCTAGGCCAGCTAGCTTCCAGTAAGTCTCCTGTCTTCCCCTCCCATGCTGCTATGGGAATGCCAGGGTTACAGATGTGTGCCACATCTGGCCCTTTTACCTACGTTCTGGGGAATCAAATTCAATCAAATTGTCAGGCTTGCTTTGCAAATGCTCTCACTTGGCGAGCCATCTTCCTGACCCTCACGGTGACATTGCTGCTGGCCTTGAGTTCTTTCTTGTGGCTTTCTTCTTCATTATCATCGCTCACTCTTCCCTGCCTCCTCAATACCTGGAGTAACCGTGTGTGCCCAGGCATGCTCAAACATGCTTATCCAAGGTAAAGCTTTTTATTTTTTCAAGACAGGGTTTCTCTATATAGCCTTGGCTGTCCTGTACTCACTATGTAGCCCAGGCTGGCCTCAAACTCAGAGATCTGACCGCCTCTGCCTCCCAAGTGCTGGTAGTAAAGGCGTGCGCCACAACGACCGGCTTTCAAGCTGAGTCTTCTTACCCACGGTATTTTGGGGGTTTTGTTGTTGTGATGTTCTTTTTTGTTTGTTTGTTTTTGAGACAGGGTTTCTCTGTGTAGTCCTGCCTGTCCTGGAACTCGCTCTTTAGACCCGGCTGGCCTTGAACTCAGAGATCTGCCTGCTTCTGCCTCCTGAGTGCTGGTAGTAAAGGCGTGCGCCACAACGACCGGCTTTCAAGCTGAGTCTTCTTACCCACGGTATTTTGGGGGTTTTGTTGTTGTGATGTTCTTTTTTGTTTGTTTGTTTTTGAGACAGGGTTTCTCTGTGTAGTCCTGCCTGTCCTGGAACTCGCTCTTTAGACCCGGCTGGCCTTGAACTCAGAGATCTGCCTGCCTCCGCTTTCCACCTGGCTGGCACTAACCCAGCTGCAGAGACAGAAGTAGCCACTAGAGGGCGTCCTGGGCCTGCAGCAAGCAGAGGGAACAGGCCGGACTGTGTCTATGAGGCTTTTTCCAGGGTCCTTTCTGTTGGCAGAGTTGAGGCTTCCATTGAACATAGAGTTGACCTGGGTAGAGCCAGTTAGGGACATGACTGAAACCAGCTGGATCCAGGACCACAGAACATCTGGGTCCATAACCTGACCTACTTACTCACTTGCTGACTTCGGACCAGGGGTACTCAGTGTTGTTTTAACTCCACAACCCAGGTAGGAGTGTATGTCTGTGTGTGTGCTGTCGTGAGTGTGTGTGTGTGCGTGCGCACACGCGCACTATAGGTTCAGGGTCTTCCTGTATTGCTGGGCTGGACTTGAACTCCTGAGCTCAACTTACCACGCTCCCTTACCCCCGGTGGCTGGGCTATGGATATGGAACACCACAGCAAACACAGGTGGGGTTATTCTTGTTGTTTTCTCCGGGCAGAGCTTCTCTTTGTAGCCTTGGCTGTCCTGGAACTCAATCTATAGACCAGGCTCAGGCTGGCCTTGAACTCACAGAGATCCACCTGCCTCTGCCTCCTGAGTGCTGGGATTAAAGCCACATGTTGCCACCCTGGCTACAAACTTAAATACTACTTGTTGAAATAGGAGCGGCGGGGCTGCGTCCCCGGCACCCAGCCGCCCGCATGGCTAGCTTATGCCCAGAAATAATTACACGGAAACTGTATTCTTTTAAACACTGCCTGGCCCGGCTAGTTTCAGTTTCTTATTGGTTAGCTCTTACATATTGTTCTAACCCATTTCTAATATTCTGTGTAGCCCACGAGCTGGCTTACCAGGGAGGATCTTAACCTGCGTCTGTCTGGAGCGGGAGAATCATGGCGACTCCTCTACTAAGCTTCTTTTTCCCAGCATTCTCTTCTGTCTACTCCGCCTACCTAATTTTCTGTCCTATGAGGGCCGAGGCAGTTTCTTTATTATTAACCAATGAAAGCAACAGATAAGATACAAGACCCACCTCCATCAACTACTGAATAAAAACAATTGTAAAGGGAGTTGGGTGTGGTGGTGTGCACCTCTAGGTAGCATGAGTAGTAAGAACCCAGAGATAGATATTGGGGTTCAACTTGAAGACCAGAAAAGCAAAGCAGCCAGCCATTGGCTCCTACCTCTACCTCAGTCAAAAAAATGGTGATTCTGCCTCCAGGAATCCTCAGAATTGGAGGACCCTGATCTACAGTACCAAGTTCCAGGCCAGCCAGGGCTAGCCAGTGAGACCCGGCTACTGGGAAGAGGCGTAGATGGGCTTGTGCGCAAGCGTGAGGACTTGGGTTCGGATGCCCAGAGCTTGGGTGAAAGTAGACGCTGGCATCACAGACCTCTGTGACCACACTCGGCATCACATCAGCGCCCAGAGGCAGACGCAGTGAACCCCTGGAGTGAGCTGGATAGTTGATTGGCGAAACAGCAGGCTCCACTTTAGTGAGACACTCTGCCTTGATCTGTAACAGAGAGAGCAGTCAAGGAAGATAATCAGTGTCAGCCTCAGGCCTCCAAACACATGGACACAGTGCACATACACACATGTGCACACATGAAAGCATGCA